GGGAACTTTGATTTATAAACTCTTACGTTAACTTGTGCACGAATACTAACACTATCATCATCACTACCATTATTATTATTATTATTATTATTATTATTATTATTATTATTATTATTATTAACTGCAAAAAAACTGTTTAAAGGTTTAAAGAGTGTTGTTGAAAAATAATTTGTTGTCTGTCACGGCGGGTGATTTCGGATTCATTTTTCAATTTATTAATTCATTCATTCTTTCGTTCATTCCTTCATTTATTTCTTCATTTATCCATTCGTTCGTTCGTTCATTCATTCATTCATCCAATCAAAAAATAGGACACTCTGCAAGAAATTTTTTATAGTCAATGAAACTCAATCATTGATTGAATGAGTTAATGTATAAATGTATAATACCAAGCGCAGTTGCCATGTTCAAATGTAAAGAGATCCACACACGAGTGTGTATGTGTGTTTGTTTGTGTGTGTGTGTGTTTGTGTCTGTGTATAGGAGTGTGTGTTTTTGAGTGTATAAGTGTGTTTGCGCGCGTGTGTACGCGTGCGTGAATGCGTGTGCGTGCGTGCGTGCGTGTGTGTGCGTGTGTATATGTGTGTGTGTGAGAGAAAGAGAGAGAGAGAGAGAGAGAGAGAGAGAGAGAGAGAGGGAGAGAGAGAGGTTTGTCATGGTCAATGCTAATAACATTTGAAGTATCAATACACAAAGTCAACGCCAAATGATTGCGTCATTTGTTTACATGTTGTTGTTTACATTTTAGTAGCGGCCAATATTTGAAAATATAAATAAATAAATGAATAATCAAATAAATAATAATAATAATAACAGAAGAAATATAACTGATGTTTCGTCTTTTGTAGTTATTAATATTTTTATCATTCGTATTGTTTGCTGGTAATTTTATTATTACAGTTATTATTTTAATTAAAAATGAATTTTTTACAAATTTTAACGCTCTTAACGATTTTTCTGGCAAAATCGAAAATTTTTGGCAAAACCGATGGCGAAGAGGAAAATTCGGAGGCGAGTCGCAGCGACATGTCGCTAGCGGGACAGCTGCCAATCGTCAACATACTATCTAAGCAACCTATGGCCAAACATCCAGGTTTATATATGTTTGATGAATGGATTGATGGATTGAATGATTGATTGATGGATTGGTGGATGGATGGATGAATGGATGGATGGATGAATGAATGAATGAATGAATGAATAAAAAAATGGACGATGAATAAATGAATGGACGATGCATGATTGCATGAACGAATGAATTGATTAATTATTTAACAAACGAACGAGCAAACAAACAAACGAACAAACAAACAAATAGACAAACAACACCACAAAACCACCGCTAACAAACAGACGAAATCCTAAAAGACATCAGCAACAGCATCAACGACAACAACAACAACAACAATGACAACAAAAACAACAACAATAACAACAACAACAACTACAACAACGATAACAACAACAACAACAATAACAACAACGATAACAACGACAACATCAACAACGATAAATTCTCTCTGTGGACAAAAATTGCCTTCAACAAAAAATGTTACGGGAACATGTGCTACAGCTACAGTCTCTCAACCGTTCCAGTGGAAAATTTGAAAGACGCCCTGGATAAATGCCCCCCGGAAACTTGGCTCCTGACGATCCTGAATTATAGGTGTCATTGTTGTTGTTGTTGGTGGTGGTGTTGTTGTTGTTAGTGGTGTTGTTGTTGTTTTTGTCAGGGTTAAGGCTGATGTTGTTGTTGTTGATGGAGCTGCTTTTGTATTCTTTTCGTTTCGTTGTTGTATTTATTATTGCAACTGTGTAAGTGGCGGTAGAAGTAGCCACAACAGCAGCAGCAGCAGCAGTATTATTAGTAGTAACCGCAACATTTCTAGGATTCAAAAATCAGTGGAGAAGCTGATGAGGCAAGATTACGATTTTAAGGAGAACGTTATCCTGTCAATGCTGTACGTTGGGGAGTGGGACCAGTGGATCGTTAATGATGACATCAGTGAGTAAGACGACGACGACGATGATGATGATGGTGATGATGGTGACGATGACGATGATGATTGTAATGATGATGGTGATGATGATGATTGTGATGGTGACGACAATGATGATGATTGTGGTGATGATGATGATCTTGATGCATCTAAAGATGATGATGATTGTGATGCAGCTGACGATGATGACGATTGTGATGATGATGATTGTGATACAGCTGATGATGACGATGATGATGATGATTGCGGCGATGATAATGATCGTGATGCAGCTACTAGTGATGACAATGATAAAGAGGATGAAAAAGGATGAAGAGATTAAGTTGATGGTGAAAACTCAAAATCAACCAAAATATTTAACCACAACTACCTTTCTTTCTTTAATTTTAGCAATTTTACTCTCTTATGAGAACTGGCTACGCGGTTTCAAACTACTGAATGATGGTCAGTGCGCCTATCTATCTGGGAAGGAAAAAAATAGGTGGATGGTGGGCTCTTGCCAGGGTGATTACAAAATCATCTGCATGAAGTGTCGGTTCATGTTTCTTTTATTTCTGATTTTTTTTCTGTGAATGTCTCAAATTTTGGTCTCATTTTTGTCAATTAACCAAATGAACTAAGGACAACATAGCTCATAGAAGCGCTGAGACAAAGCGAAAAATAAACTACCACTTAGGAAACCACAACAAAAAACAACAGCAACATCAACAACAACAAGCACAAACAACGACGAACAACTTAACCACAACCAAAGCTTACATACAAAAACCACCAGAACAAACCTCAAAATTTACCTAAACCACCCAACACCATTGCAGTGAGATGCAGTGCCATCTGGATTGAAGTGTCTGATGGGACGATTTCATATGAGAACAGCATCTACAAGTCCGGTGTGGAGAGCTTGGAGAATTGTAAGCTGCTCTGCGAGTTATCTGGTGCTTCTTGCATCGGTGAGGACAGTTTTCACTCTCAGTTGATTAATCGCTCAATAAATAAATTAATCGATTGATTGATTAACCAATTTGCTAACTAACCAATTTACCAGCCAACCAACCAACCAACCGACCGACCGACCAACCAACCAATTGATCAACCAACCAATCAATCAATCAATTGATTAACCAATCGTTAGGCGTGTATATCTCTCATTACAACCAGTGCTGGTTACTGGAAGGCCTAGGTAGAGCCGAAGGAACCAGAGGAACCAAAACATTTCATCTCAAGTTTACTGATAAAACTTGTCTATCACAGAAGAAAGATGGTTTGTTTTACTTTCTCTTTTTGTCTTTCTCTCTCTCTCTCTTTCTCTTACTCTCACTTTCTCTCTCTTTCTTTCTTTTTCTTTTTGCAGGCTAATTGGCATCACCATTAATGTCTCCTTGCCAGCTCAGATTTTTACTGTCTTTCATTCATTTTCTCCAGTGCTATTGTCGTTTTTATATCATTTTTCCTCTTGTTCTCTTTCACTCCATCTGTCTGCTTCTTTTCGTTTCTTCTCTCCATCCCTTTCATTCTTTCATCCCCTCTCAAATTTCCAACCTCTCATTCGTTCAACCCCTCTTTTAAATAACAAAATTATCAGCATCTTTTTCTATCTTCACTATCATCATCATCATCATCCCTAGCATCGAATGTAGCAGCCACTGACACAGCAGCAGCAGCAGCGATAGTAGCTGATGACGTCACAGTGCTGGGAGACGAAGATGAAGGAAACGACAGACCGGATGAACTTCTAATTAGGTCAATAATAGGAATAATAATAATGGTTTTTTCACTCAATTTTTTACTTAGAGTTTATCACCAACACACACACACATACAAACAAACAAACACACACGCACACGCACATACAAACACACAAAATTATCCCGCCATTTTTTCAGGTTCAAGAGGTCGAATGAGACAGCTGTGACCGAAGGCATTGTGGAGATTGTTCCAGCCGGTGGAATACACAATGATGACATGGAAAAAAAATCAAGTGTGTTTGTGTATGTCTACGTACGTATGTACGTGTGGGTTTTTTAGTTTGTCTGTCGGTGTATATGTATGTGTGTTTTTGTGTGCATGTGTGTGTGTGTGTGTATTTGTTTGTTTCTTTTTATGTTGTTGAATGCGCATGTAATAGAATAAAAAATGATGACGATCATGGTGAGCATGTTAACGACGATGATGACGATGATGATGACGATGGCGATGATGATGATGATAAAAGGTCTGGAAGGCCTGATGATATTGAACATCATCATCGGTTGTGCCTATGCAGCAGTTCTCATAGCATACAAAGTTTTACTTTTCTTATACGGAAGGTAAGATCGTGAAAGAATGAATTAATGAATAAATGAATGAATGAATGAACGAACGAACGAACGAACGAATGAATGAATGATAAATAAATGTATGAACGAATAGCAAAATAGTTGATTCAATACAAAAACAAATGAAAAGAAAACTAATAAAACTGAATAATGAAATAAAATTTGTTTTTTCATTCTTCAGAGTGAAGAAACGGACTGAGGAAGAATAACTATGTTAACCAGTCATCCTTAATATGAATCCATGTTGCTACAGATTTTAGTTAACCTGCCGATAGACAAATTCATTTTATCGATAAGAATTAATTCTATTTAATGACTAAGCAATTAATTTAATTAAGAAATTTGACAAGATTTTATTGTAAATTTAAAAAATGTGTTATTTTGCCATTTGTTTGTTGTTGATTTTTATTGATTTATAATAAAAAAGGTGTTTAAAGTTTGAAAAATTAATCGGTTCTCATGATTATTATTATTCTTATTATTTTGACAATTAAATGAATTTATTATTATTAATTGTTCTTCTGGTTTTGTTATTATTAAGTTTCATCATTTCAAAAATATATCGTCGTTATTATTATTATAATTATCATATTTTGAAGAAAAAATTGTAAAACACACAAACACACGTGATAAACATACAAAAATGAATCATACCACAAATGCTGGCCCTCAATGTTCGCCCCCGCTGAAAATGTAAACTTTTTAAAAATCTGTTTTTTTTCTTGAAAGGACATTACTTCCTTGGCATTGCTAGGGTAAAAAGTGTATGAAAGTTAAAGGTGAATGATTCAATGAAATAGTGAATGAAAAGATGAATAAATGATTGAATGAATGAAAAGATGAATATATGAATTAGTTAAGAGATTAATTAATGAATGAATGGATAAACAAAAATAAACAATCGCATGGATAGGTGCATGGATTTATTCTGAGTGAATGACTTAATGAATGAATAGACGAATGAAAGAAAGAATGAATCAACGAATGAAAGAAAAAAAATGAATGAATGAATAATTAGATGGATGAATTAATTAATTAGATGGATGAATTAATAAATGAATTAACGTAACAAAACTGAATGATGAAATATAAATTTGTTATTCATTCGACAGAGTTAAGAAGAGACAGACAGATAGCTTATATGAATTTGTGTATGATTCAAATAAATTTTATCGGGATTGATTCCATTTTTGAAATGATTAAAATTTTTGCCGACCGAAAAATTTGTTTTATTTTGTTTTGTTATCATTTTTCTACTGTTGGTTGTGAATTTTTGATAGTTTAAAATAAAATAACTCGTTTTTCTATCGTGATCTCGTAACTTTCGTCGTCAGATGGTTCACCATTGCAAGTAAGAAAATTTGGAACCTTGGCTTAATGCTAGTTGAACTAGAGATTGGATTATGGAAGTAGCATTAGAAAAGTTGCTAAAAATTTCAAAGAAACAATTAAACGACAATGGAGATCAAACCAAAATGAGGAAGAAGACGAAGAGGCACCCAGCCAAGAAGTTATATCTACAGGGAAGGCATGCCAGGAAACTAACATATAATTTTATTCAATTCGTTAGGACAATGAAGAATTGTTTAAAGTTTCTAAGTTCATTGAATTTTTGGTTGAATAAATATAACTTTGAATAAACACAAGAACAGAATAAACATGATTTTGTTTTACTCGTAAAAACAATTTTTGAATATCGGAATAGTTGATGTTGAGTTTTTAAGAAGGAACTGTTCAGAGAAAGAGAACAGTCTCTTCAGGACTGTATCTGCATCTCATCAAGTTGATGATTCATTCTTTTGTTCGTTCGTTCGTTCGTTTGTTCGTTTGTTCGTTCGTTCGTTCGTTAGTTCGATCGTTCTTTCGTCCACTCTTTCAATAATTCAAAGTAGTATTAGAGTAGTAGAAGTATTAATGCAGCATCAGCAGGACTGGTAGTTATAGTATAAGGTGTAGGAACGTAGATTATAATAAAATAAACAAACATTAACAATAATAACATTAATGACATACAGAGCAGTAAAATAACAAATAAATAAACATAAAAAACGAAAGGTATCAACCGGCCAGCCGACCAGTGAGAGCAGACTTCCGCCAACGAGACCCATAACTCTCCTTCAAATGCCGACACCTCATTGGCTGGTTAATGCAGATCAGGTGAAACCTCATTGGCCGGTTAATGTAGGTCAGGTGACCATTCGTGACCTAGTTACATGTCATTAACGTTCGGTCATTGTTATTTCAACGGAACGTCTGATCGTGTGGCGTGTGTGTGTGGGTTTGTGTGTGGGTTTGTGTGTGTTTGTGTGTGTGTTTGTGTGTCTGTGTCTGTGTGTCTGTGTCTGTGTGTGTGTCTGTGTGTGTGTGTGTGTCATGATGAAAATGCAAACAACCATAATAATGAATAAGCATGAATATATCATGAATATATCATAAATACATCTTTGTATGATACCTTGTTAACGTACAAGCAAACCTGATGAACATGCAAAAATTATTTTCAAACACACACACGCACATACACACATACAAACGCACACATACACAAACAAACAAACACACATACACATAGAAACACACACGCGCAAACATACAAACATACGCACACACACACAAATGCTTTAAAGCAGGCAACCTTACTCGTAAAACCAACATTTCAAAATAGCATTTCCATCGCGTTAAATTCATTTTACAGCCGGAACTAAAATAACAAGAATAAAAAGTGAAATAAACAATAATAATAATAAAAACTGATATTAACAATAATAATAATGATAATATAATAATAATAATAATAATAATAAATGGTAGAGTAAATAAGAAAAAAATCAAAAAATGTTGAAATTCTTACACACATAATAATTACGCTCTGAATGTTTGAGTGTAAAAAATGGAAAAAAAAGAACATGACGTGAAGGAAAAAAAAATAAAAAAATTGGGAAACGAAAGAGCTGAAGAGAGAGAGAAAGACAGAAAAAGAGAGAGAAAGAGAGAGAGAGAGAGAAAGAGAGCAAACAGCAAACAAAGACTGAAAAAAGACAAAGAGAAAGTGAAAATGATGAAGAGAGAGAGAGAGAAAGAGAGAGAGAGAGAGAGAGAAATTAGAGTCCATTGAAATTTTAATATTGTATTTTCTATTGATTTTGTATGTCATTTGGTAGATGGATGCGTAGTTCGTACGCTGATGATGATGATTATGAAGGTGAATAACAATAATAACAAAAATATTATATTGACAATGTTATTATTATAATAACAAAAATATTATATTGACAATTTTATTATTATTTTTCTTATTGCTTTTTATTGACTTTTCGTTTCTTGTTGATTCTGAGTTCGATGGAAGTCAGCAGTCATTGCGACTGAAATTTAAAAAAAACTCAATGCCAATGTGGATGTTATTGTTAACGCCAGTAGAAGTAGTAGCCACAGCAGTAGCAATAGTAGCAGCAGTAACGTTATTAACAATAATAATAATATTATAAATAAGGTTTACGTTATAGAAGTATTTTTAAGTTATATTTCTATTCTTATTGTTCTAGTTCTTATAAATTTTCCATTTCTTCTTATTCATTTTTTTTCTTCTTTCTTCTCTTCTTCTTTTTCTTCTTTTTCTTCTTCTTCTTCTTATTATAATTATTATTATTATTATTATTATTAAATATAAATGATATTTATATACAGGCATAATTCACATTGTGTATTTATCACTGGATTCTGCTGAATACATAA